TTACTCATCCCCATCCCCATCATTGCTTCACATTACAACTTCCTAATTCAACAACATAGTGAATTAGAGAACTCATCTGAAGGTATTTAGCTGTAACCTGTAGTCACACAACCCACTTGGGTCACTTGGCTTTTAGGCACAAACAAGATGTTTTCCCAGAGCTGTAAACTGGTGCTCAGAGCCAGGCTGAGAAGTGAAGTGCTGTAACAACAGGGAGAGAAGCCACCCAGGCTGATGCCCTTCTCCACATACTGAGGTTAAGAAAATCCAACACAAGCACATCAGGCTGAAGAACTCACAAGGCAAATCCTCTGAGCAGATGTGAAGCATTTTTGTAGGAATATTTGCAGAATTAATTTTAATTTCCCTGCTGTCTGTCCCCTCCACCTCCCAGAGAATCCAGGGCACTCAGAACACGATGAGGATGTTCCTCACCACATCCAAGCTCGATGGTAAAGCCTCAGCTCATGTTCCTTCCTGCAGCACGTTGCTGCTATTTCATATTGCTATACATATTAAAGATCTTTCCTTGCAGCACACACAGCCCATTAGAGCAATTTGTTTATAAACAGGACTAAACAGAGCCAATCTCTCCCAGCCTTATGTTACACAGAATTAAATGCTCTCTAATTTAACTGCACGATGCAAGTGACGCACGGTGCCACCTACGTGCCCTTGGACAGGAGCCAGATGGTTTCCCTCCCACATCACACCACATCTCTGCTAGAAATAAACATTCAAGGGTAAAACCAGGGGAAAATCCTCATATCCCCAGAAGGGACCCCGGGCCAGTAGCAATGAAGCACAGGATGAACACCCCCATATAGAACTGTCTGCATTGAAAGGGTTTGAGTTTCTTAGCAGCTGGCCAGAAGTTCACCTATTTTGTTCCTTTTACTGGTCAACTTTCCCTTGTGTACCAGCAAAACAGCTCAGCTCTTGCAGACATACCTTACCATAATAGGCAATGTGAGTCCTGAAAGTGGAGGACTCGGAGCCTTTCTTGGCTTCCAAACAGGGTCCATGGGCTTGGCTGCACAATAACAACTGGGGACCCCCAGGGCTCCCAGTACACCCAGCCCAGCTACAACAGGACATTGATAAAACACTTAACAAAAACCAGTCCTCATCTTCTAGGTATTAATCACATCCATCTTTCACAAAAAGGTGAACAGCACGGTGACAAAAACTGAAGTAAGCCTCTGTGGAAGGATAAAGTGTCACTAAAAGCAAAAATACAGGTGAAAAATAGGACACACCAAAATCAGGACTCCCAGGTCATAGCTCTGAATCAGCAATAACATTGAGTTTACATAAGGAATTTTCCTTCATTGTCCTCCTGTAGAACTTGTGGAATTAAGCTTAGAAATTCAGCCCTTCTAAGACAGATTTAATTTACATTGGTATCCAGTTGCATCTGGTGATTTCATGGTAACAATACAGGTAAGCAGAACACTTATTTACAAACCAGAGTGAAACTAGATCATTCCAAAAATCAAAGTGCAGCAAGACAGGAATGGAGCCTATTTAATCCACTTAGTGCAACTGTAATTCACAATCAAACATTTCAGTGCTATTCCTCCATAAAACTTAATTCCTTTAGTGTGTCTGGGGTTTATACTGGGCTATACAGACTGTCCTGAAGGCAATTCATGACAACAGACATTCTGTTTGATACTTTTACTGCCCAGAAATTGTTATTTTATGAACACAACACTCAGTGAACTCCTCTGAATTTAAAGTTTTGACAAATTCCTCTGTGAGTGAGGTACATCTGTAATGCTCCGGCAGAGAACTGCAAGGAGAAACAATCCTTTAAATGATTATAAACATTTTCTACTTCTTCTCTATGTTCTGTCATTTACAATGTACTTTTCTTCCAAATTTGTTCCTCATTGTTCCTGCTGTGCAATGATGGCAGAAGCTGCCCAGAGCAGCTGTGGCTGTCCCTGGATCCCTGGAAGTGTCCAAGGCCAGGCTGAACTGGGATTGGAGTGGCCTGGGATGGAGGAAGGTGTCCCTGCCATGGCATGTCCATGGGACTGGATGAGCTTTAAGGTCTCTTCCAACCCAAACTAGGCTGTAATTGATTCTATTATTTTAAGTCAGGGCCAAGTCAAAACCAGCAGTCAGGGATAAAGAAAACCTGCTCTGAAAGGGAACACTGGAACATTCTCTTTAGTCCTCATCATCATCCTCCAGCTGTTGCATCCCAGTCTGGGCCATTGATTCCTATCCACACTGACTCTGTTGTGCTTGTCCTCACTGGCCTCACCAGCACTGCAACTCCCATTGGTATTTTGCAGTCAGTGGCTTGAGGGAACAGGGAAAGTTTCCCAGCTCCAGCTTCCCCTGGCTCACTCTGAATCTAACACGAGCTTTCAGACTCTCCAATTTTTATTTTCTGACAAAAAGAGACAAGACTGTGGCCACGCTTTTCCCCCACCTCTGTTTTGAGCTCAGGTCTCCCCAGACCACACAAAAAATCCTTCCTTTGAAGCTCCTTCCCACTGGAATCACAGAAAAACCTCTCCTAAAACTGCTTCCCCAGAGGCTTTTTCCTGCTGAAGTCCTTGTACCCTTGAACATTTATTCCACAATAAAACTTTGTCTGCTCTTCCAACTTTCCAGAGAGCACACACAGGCAGTCTGCATCCCAAGGAGGGAGGTGGGGTGGGAGCAGAACACATGGAGAATCCTGACACATCCCACTATGAGACCTCTTATTGCCTAAACCTCAGCCAAAGTGTCTGGGCTGCTTTCCCACTCCGGTGCTTGTGAGCTCAGCCAAAATAATTCATCCACTTTCTGAAAATTAGAACAACATGTATTTGCTCCCTTTTTTTTTCCCCCCCCAAAACTGCCTTTACCTTTCCTGTGCTAGTCTCACTGCAGAGTTGGAGGAGGGATTTCAAGTAAGGCCTTTTTTTTGGTTTCCATGAAAAACATCCTGATATCAGCCAAGATATAAACACTCTGGAGCAAAAATGTTCCCATAAAATCAGTTTCTTTGGGGTTCTGCTACTAAAATGGGACACTCCAGACTGTTCAAGTTCACAACCTGGTGACATTTGGCACCTGCCATTCTAGAACTATAAATACTGAAGGATTAATGATTATTAACTGTACTTTCTTATTGGCACTAGAATTGAAAGCAGAGAGCTGTTCCATGATTCCTGCCAAAGTGATGGCAAAAATCAGCAATCTCTGATTTGGATCTCAAATAAACCAGGGAAGACTGACCAAGTGACATGATGGTGGTGGCATGCATTCAAGAAAATAAACTGGGAACTGGATAAACACAAGAGGACTGGGAAAATGGGAAAACCAGCTCCAGCAGAGTGGGAGGAGAGTCTAACCCAAGTCTGAGGTACACTGGGTGTGTAAGAAACCAAGGTGCTGGTGCTCTGAAAGCACCTGCATAAATGGGCTGATGGAGCTGAAGGAAAGTTGCTCTGCTCTTAGATGGATCCCACAAGAAAATCACGTCAAGTGTTAGAAAAAAGGAATCCTCGCTGTTAATTTGGGGAAAACCAGCATTATTAATTGTAAGAGACTGGGTGACCTTGAATTTTTGGGCAGCTAGGTTCTCCCAAAGTGCAGCTTATCCATTCACATGAGCAGTGAGGACTGTGCTCAATAAAATTTTCAGCAATTTTAGGACTAGACTCCAGGAAGCCTCCAAACCTGCAGCCTCAGCTACTCTTTTGTCTTAATTTAGGTAATCTGGGACAACTTCCCAGAAGAACAAGACATTCCCAGCAAGTCCCAAACATGCCTGCTGGAAACAAGGTGTCCCTATTATGATTATTACTTTTTACACATTACAGAACTCCCCTCCTTCAGTCTAACTGTGAGGCAGCAGAAATGTCAAAACAATTTTAATGATGATAAATGTCTGAATCCTTCCTGCAGGGTTCAGTGAAGATTTCAGGAAGCTCTGCACTGTGATGAGCAGAAACTCCTGTGGGAAGGGCTGGCCTCCTTGAAGCAGGTGATGCTTCTGTGAGCAGGAATATCTCACATTGCAAGTGGAGTAATGTGCAAAGTAAGCATTGGGAAAGCACTGGCTGGCATGGAAAGATAAGCACATGCTAAAAACTATCCCAGCACCACATGAGTCTCTGGTCCCAGCAAGGCTTGCTGTAACTTTGCTGCATTCTGACTGAATATTGCAAGAAAGAAAACAAAAACAGAGTCTGAAGAGTGTTATTGCCAATTTTCAGCAAAGAACCAGTTAATTCCAACTAAATGATGCTTCAATCACTCTACTGCATTGCAAAGCATAGGGAAAGGCTTCCCCAAGTTCAAGGTTTTCCAGCAAAAATGAAACACCCCACAAGCAGGCTGACCCCTATGCAACCTTACATTTGTTATTTCTCCCAGGTCTTCCACACTGCATTTTAATAACTTGGAAATGTATTTAGCTTTGACATTGTCAGAGTCAGTCATGTTGTCAGGCCCAAATGTGTTTCAGACAAAGACAAAACCAAAGGAAACCAAGGCAATTTGGAAAGACTCTGTAATTATTATAAAAGGAAAGAAAGGGTCTCAGAGGATGAGACTATTGCAAGAACAGGGGGACACTGGCCAACCTCTGACCACTTCCCACAAGAAAACAAATCCATAAGGAGACAGGAGAGCAGATTTCAGAAATACAAAACATCCTGTCCAAAATAACAGTGATTCCAAGATCCAAGGTCACACCTTCCCTGGGACACCTGAGATCCCACTGCCCTGGCACTGCAGCCCCACTGCTGCATTCCCTCCAGGCTCCACAGCTCCTGCAGCTCTCCAGGAGCCAACACTGAACTCAGGCCACTCTGCAGATATACCTTATCTTTCAGAAGAGAAATCAGTTAGGAATTTGCTGCTTGGAACTACCTCCCTGTACTCCTGAGCAGAGCCTGAACCTCTCCTATAGACAAGAGCAAAAGCCACAGAACACTCTGTCAGCAGCACCCAGGAATGACATATCAATGATTCATATTCTCACTTACCCGAGTTTCCTTCACTTCTTCATTTCCATCAACTTCATCATCATCCTAGGAGGAAAGGCAAAAATGGAATCAGGCAGCTCTGGAGACAACAAAACTTTATCCCAAGAAGGTAATGTATTGTTTATAGAATCACAGAGTCATTAAGGTTGGAAAAGACCTCCAAGACCTCCAAGTCCAACTTTGATCAAACACAGCACATCAACTCCAGCACAGCACAAAGTGCCACGTGTGTTTTGAACCCTGTGAGGAATGGTGACTCCACCACTGCTCTGGGCAGCCTGTGCCAGTCCCTAACCACCCTTTCAGAGAAAAAATTACTTGATGCTAACGTTAAGGAAACTTCTGTCAAAAGAAATGTCTGTCCAGATGCTTTTGGGTAACCTTCAGATGAGGCTTGGTGTGCTAATGGCCATTTAGCAGATGTTGGTGCTGGGGACAGAATGACATCAAGAGATGGCTCCTGCCATTCCAATGCTTCTGAGGAGTCCCTAATACACTGAGGGGAAAAAAACTTGGAAAAACTGCACATCTGAAATACTGACAGAATACTGACTCCCAAAAGTATCTCCAGTTCAGTTAGACTCCAGGTGGGAAGACTGGTCATCCCAGGTATCCTGCATAGCTTCTCCAAGCCTTTGTAATTGCTCCAGGGTTTCATGGAACAAACATGAAGTACCACACCATCCCAGCTGACTCTGGATTCAACTATTAACTGCAATTTCATAATTCTTATTATCTACTGAAAAAGGTGATCTATTTTCCTGGCTGAGGCTCTAACCAAAGTTTGGCAAGTTCGATTTCTTCCCTCAGACTGGAGAAATCCTCTGAAACCAGGACTAAGCAAAATGACCACGACACAGACAGCTCTTCTGCACTTATGCTGTGAGTGTTCCCTGGTGCTGGGAGTGGACCCAGACACAGGTTTTCTTCCTATTGTCTTTCTCTCAAGGGGACTAAAGAGCAGACAAATTTTGCCTTGAATAAATTTGAAAATACTTCAGGTGATTTGTGACTTCCTTCCAAAGGAATCAGACTTTGAATCTCTCCTCTGCCATGTGGGCCCTGTCCCAGTCCTGCAGGATTTCCATAAAATAGCTCAGTTACAGGCTGCCCAGAGCCTCCTGCTCGGTCTGACACAGCCCAAACAGGGATGGGAGACCTTTGGAAATGCCAGTCTAAAAGAGAGCTGGAGAGGGAAGAAGAAAATGGAAAAATGGACTGGGAAGAAAACCATGAAGCTTGGAATTGGAAGAAAATTCACCCTGGAGTTTCTCGGGAACTCAAACTCACATCCTGTGTTGAGAAGATGATGCCGGTGCCTCTCCGTCTCTCCTTTGGTCGTCGCCGCTCTCGGATCGACTGCTTGTTCAGGGATCTGTCGTCTGAATCCTGATCTTCACACTCTGGCCAAGCAAAGAAAGACTGCTTTGGTTTCAGTGATTTACATCTGTGCTTTTGCTAAGGTTCTGGGGTTCTTTTCAATCTCATCAAGGTCATCTTGCCTTGTGTTATATTACATAGGAGTAATTAAACCAAATGAAATGAAATCCCAGTGTCCTACTACAGCTGGATACTCACACTCCTTCCCTCATCAGAGCCAGGGACCTGCCAGCTCTCCCCAACTCATCCTGACTTACTCCTGCTCTGAGGGTAAACTGTACTAGGGGAATCTCTTTCTCCAGCTCTAATAGCTAAATACTCCATGATCACTGTCTCATTTATTTATCCACAATGGAAAATATCCTTTTATCCCTGTGTTACAAGCAATAGGAATTTTTTTAACTCCATTTAAACAAATAACATTTGTTTTGTGATGTGGCAGCTTCCCTCAGAGTCACAAGTAAACCTGTTCTCTCCATCTGTACACAGTGGAAGTTCTAAAGCACAAGAAAACCCTTGAGCTTTGTCTGTTCTTCACTCTCCTGGTACCTACCATTTTTCTCCATCTCTGTGGCTGCCGCTCTGAAATCTGCTGGATTCACTGAGTCCAGCCCTAGATATTTATTTGTTCGAGTCAGGTATGAACTTGTATAGAGCAGAGGTGCTGCTGTGGAAGGAGACACAGGTGTTGTGGGTTTGTCAGGCTGGGCTGGGCCCCTCAGTCGCCGATACACGGTCTGAAAACAAAGAGCCATGACAGAAAAATAGTACAATGAAAAGGAAGGAGAAGACTTTGGATTTCAGGGGATGGAACTTGAGAGTGCAATGTTTTCTTCACCTGTGCTTGACAGATCAGGTCCATTCTATCACATAAGGATGGGTGTTAAAGTCATTGGACAGCTACAGTGTAAGAGCACCCTCCACAGCTGGGAGATCTGGGATCAATCCCTTTGTCCCTACAGCTCATGGCAGGAGACACGAGTTATCTAATATAAATGTATGATTTAGAGTGAAAAAACCAGAGGTGATGGTAGGGGCAGAAAACTGGTCTCTCCAGCTTTCCATTACACATGGAACATCTGAGGAAAAATGTGAACACAAAGCCTCTGCCTAGACTGAATAGCAAGGATGGATCCAGGCCACATTTCTATCATTAGCCTTCTCATTATACTTTCTGGGATTTACACCGTTTTATTTTCTGGCAAGAGCCAGAAAGGTGAAATTCCCAGAGGAGAGAAAAGGCACAGCTAAGCTCCAGCACCTCCACGTGCACCTCCCTCGTGCTGAAGTGGCGCTCCTCAGCCAGCAGTGCCTCTTCTCAGCCGGCCTCTCCCCCTCACAAGACAAAGGTAACCCCCAAAGAATTTCTCCTGGTGTCAGCTCTTCTGAATGGCTTTGGGAGCTCTCAGGGAAGGGGTAGTGAGGCAGGAGGATCACCTCGTCCTCTGTGCTCCTGCCCCAGCGGCCGCGGCTCTCGGGCCGGTCGCCGCTGTCCTGGGCTGTGTCGCTCTGCTGCTCCTGCGCCTGGCGCTCGGCGCGCGAGCGGCTGAACGTGCGCTCGGCCTCCTGCAGCTCCGTCAGCGTCACGCCCTGCAGGGAAACACAACCTTCCAGCCATGCACACAGTCACCAAACCCCACCCTGCTCTGCCTTGGAAGGGACAGCACATCTCACCCCACCCCAGCACGGCAGGGACACTTTCCTCTAGCCCAGGCTGCTCCAGCCCCCATTCAACCTGACCTTGCACATCTCCAGGGATCGGACAACCACAGCTTCTCTGGGCACCTCATGACAGGGCCTCACCACCCTCACAGCCGAGAATTCCCTCCCAACAGCCCATCTAATGCTGCCCTCTGGCAGTGGGAAGCCAGTGCTCCTTGTCCTGTCCCTCCAGGTCTCTGGTCAAAGTCTCTCTCCAGCTCTCTTGGAACCCCTTTAGGCACTGGAAGGGGCTCTAAAGTCTCCTTGGAAATTTCTCCAGCCTGAAATGACATTTTCAGTCTTCCAGATCAGTTTAAAATGCCACAGACTCACATCTGGTCAGGCTCATGTTTCATCCCTATGGTAAGAGAAAGGGAAGAGTTCTGTTGCCTTTCTCAGCCTATTGGCATAATCACTGACTCAAAGCAACCCAAATATATGTGACCACACTACAAACTAAGAGGAAGGCACATTGCAGAAAGTAAAGCTTGGAAATCTAACTCATGTGTGTTTGTGGGAGGGTTTTGTAATAACTGCTTGAAGAAAATTTCACCAGAACCTCTCCAAAAACAGTGTGAGTGCAGACACTTCTGTCCTAAGAAATAGAGCAGAGAAAATCCTGCCTCTTTACAGAATCATGGAATGGTCTGAATTGGAAAGGACCTTAAAGCTCATCTCATTTCACCCCCTGCCATGAGCAGGGACACCCTCTGCTATCCCAGGCTGCTCTAAGGTCTGTCCAACCTGGCCTTGGACACTTCCAGGGATCCAGGGGCAGCCACAGCTGCTCTGGACAATTGACAGATCAGCTCTCTCCATCCTACAGGTGAATGTGAACATTTCCATTCCTCACCTGGGTAGACCTGCGGGTCTGCCGGGCCTGTCTGGATCGTGCCTTCCTCAGGGATTCTGCTTCCTCATCCCGCACCGGAGTCAGATATGACCTGGGAAAAAAAGGCACAGAAGAGGTTAAAGTCAAAGCAGATGATCTGCCTTCCTTGTCTATGTAGACTCCCAAGCTATTATTCTATTTCTCATGGACAAAAATGAATTTTAGCTCCATCTGCTATTGCTATTTCTTTGGAACAACTTCCCCATGAGCACACAATACACACATGTTCACAGCACCACCTCCCCAGAGCCTGCTCAATAAACCCTTTAGTGTTTGACATGTTCTGTTAAAAAGGTGCACCTATTCTGTACATTATTTGCTCCATTCCAAATAATTGCATCATTAGAGAAAGAACCTCACTCCTCATAACTGCCCTCTCACTCAGACAAAGATCTCAGAACAGAAATCCTGTGCTGGTGCATTCCTCAGACCCTCCTCCCTGTCATCACAGTCATGATCATATTCCTGCAATCTGCTGCCTTCATCAACATGAAACCTATCTGAACTGCAGGCATCACAGAAACACCTTGGAAAGAGCCATGGAATTAAAGAAATGACCTTCACATTCTGTGCAAATCAATCTCCTTGACACTGAGAAACCCACAGTTAAACACAGACCTGGGCACAAACAGATTTCATCAAAGCTGGGAGTATTCAAAAGAATTATTCACATGAAAATACATAAAGTGCACCCTCTGCCCTGGCAGTCACTGGGAGGAACTGGTGAGGAACTGGGCAGTGCTTTGAGTCAAGGAGTGCACAGCAGTAAATGATTTCCATGCTGGAGGAGAGGCTTCAGTCTTATGAAATGTTAATTAAACTTGACTCTTCAGCCTGGTTAATATGGAATGATTATTCACACTTCCCCACTGTACAGGAATGAGGGTGCTGGAATATTCTTTGCAGATCTATCACTGCCAGGTTAACACTGTACCAGAGGTCTGGATGCTCAAAGGGCAGTGAGTTCAGTGAGGGATGAAGGTGAATACTCTTTGTCCTCCAACTCTTTTCCTGGTTTTAGTCAATCACCTTCATGGGAAAGGCTGAAGAGGATTTGCATCAGATCCAGTATGTTAAGACATTCATTAGAAAGTTCACTAAACTGCTGCACTGTGACAAAACCACGGAGAATCCTGAAATCTGGATCTTTCTAAAATAATCTGTCATGGTGGGTTTTATCCACCCTCAGGAGCTGTGTTTAGTGCTGGTTCAGCTGTGCAGCAGCTGCAGCCTGGCCTCCATGGAGTTTCTTGGCTTGCAGGAGGTACAGACAGTCACCTCCCAGCTCCTCAGGTGTTGTGGGGCTCATGTGAGGCTCTTCTCACCTGAAACTGATGCAAGGATTAGACCTGATTTACAATGCCCTGAACACCAGAGGCCAAGGGAAGTGCAGAGGGTTGAGGCTGTGTCAGAGATGCTGGACTGGAGACTCCTGGAGGGGCAGCTCCGATCTCTGCTCTCTGTGAGCAGGGACAGCACCCAGGGAAGGGCTGGAGCTGGGCCAGGGTAGGCTCAGGCTGGAGATCAGGGAAAGGTTCTTCCCCCTGAGGGTGCTGGCACTGCCCAGGCTCCCCAGGGAATGGGCACAGCCCCGAGGCTGCCAGAGCTCCAGGAGTGTTTGGACAAGGCTCTCAGGGGTGTACAGGGTGGGATTGATGGGGTGTCTGTGCAGGGCAGGGGTTGGACTCAGTGATCCCTGAGATCTTTGGCACTCATGACATTCCATGATTCTTTGAAGTGTGCCCTGGGAGCTGCCTGCAATGGAGATGTCCCCAGCTGAGGGCTTGCAGAGCTGCACTCCCAGGGTGATTCATCACCCTCATGAGAAGCTCCAGCACAGCCCATGTGGGTGCACTACAGAGGAGCTCATTTCTTCCCATTGATTGTCCAGACACACACGTGAGCTGTGATGGATATGCCAACACGGGAAGCACCTACACTTCAGAGGGATGATTATCTCCCAAGAATCTGCTGTTTCATGAACAAAAAAAAGCTGCTGTTTGGTAAGTGAAAGCTGTGCAACTCCTAGTTTTGCAGAGCAGGAGTTCTCTCCCTGCTGCAGTGTGTGCACTGTCCAGGTAATAGCACATTAAGGCAACAATAAGCATTTTCTGCAGCTTTTGACACAAGCAGAATCACTGCTGTTTGCCCAGCAGCCAGAAGCAATAAGCCACCTACAGGAAGAAGGCATTTGCAAAATATACTGCAAATGAAGTTCAGAGCAGTAGAAAAAAACCCAAACATTCCTGAAACATATACACCAAATAAATTTGTAGCTCAGTACAGGAGGCAGTTTACTGCAATGGCTTTGAATCAGTGGAATTTAAATCAGTGGGATTTACTCTGCAATGAGGACGCAGGTATGTAGGAGATACAGGTACAGAGAGGATAAAACAGGTTTTCAGACGAGTTTCAGGAAAGGTTTGGCAAATCCATGGGGAGCAGGTCAGCTCCAGGAGTGGGGAGGGGCTCTGCAGCAGGGGCAGCCCTGCAGGCTGCAGGATTTCCCTTGGTGCAGTGCAGCCACAGCTTTGCTGTGGGAATGACAAGAGAAAAATCATTTTGGGTCTCTTAGCCCATCATCCTCCTAGGCTATTTCTCCTCTGCTCTCCCAGAATATATATAAAAATACAGCTGTGTTACAGCATCATTAGCAATTCTGGGAGTGCAGCCTGTGAAGGGGGACTTGATCCTCAGCTGGGCACATCCTGCAGGTCAGCACAGCTCAGCCTGGGCTGCAGCCGCAGTCCAGCTCCAACTTCTGGGATCTTTCCATTTGCACAATTCATCACTTCCTGGAGCTCACCCAAAGCCATTTACAGCATGAGATAACGGGATTCTCTGAGGCGAGTCAGCACAGCCCCTGCACAGTGACAGAGCTGCTTTCTGCAAGGGAGCAGCCACAGCCTGTTCCTGCTGCCAGCAGAGGGGCTGTGCTGTCAGTGCCTGCACCTGCAGCCAGCAGTGTGAGCCCAGGTGTGCCCTGCTGAGCCCTGCTGGCAGTGCCAGCCCAGGAGTGCCCTGCTGAGCCCAGGTGTGCCATGCTGAGCCCAGGTGTGCCCTGTCGAGCCCAGGTATGCCCTGTCGAACCCAGGTGTGCCCTGTCAGGTGTGCCCTGCTGAGCCCAGGTGTGCCCTGCCGAGTCCTGGTGTGCCCTGCTGAGCCCTGCTGGCAGTGCCAGCCCAGGAGTGCCCTGCTGAGCCCAGGTGTGCCCTGCCGAGTCCTGGTGTGCCCTGCTGAGCCCTGCTGGCAGTGCCAGCCCAGGTGTGCCCTGTCGAGCCCAGGTGTGCCCTGTCAGGTGTGCCCTGTCAGGTGTGCCCTGCCGAGCCCAGGAGTGCCCTGCTGAGCCCTGCTGGCAGTGCCAGCCCAGGTGTGCCCTGCTGGCAGTGCCAGCCCAGGAGTGCCCTGCCAGGTGTGCCCTGCTGGCAGTGTGAGCCCAGGTGTGCCCTGCTGAGCCCACGTGTGCCCTGCCAGGTGTGCCCTGCTGAGCCCAGGTATGCCCTGCTGGCAGTGCCATCCCAGGTGTGCCCTCCTGGCACTGTGAGCCCAGGTGTGCCCTGCTTGGGACCCTTTGTGCTTTGCTTTTTAATTTGGGGGGAAGGGAGGGAAAGGACAGATTTTACAATGTGTTGCTTTGCTTACAAACTGAAATTTGAGAGGCCTGAGTGCACTAAATGGGCTGGAAGAGAGAGACAGAGAGAACAAATGCCCAGGAAGGAGATGGTGAATTGGATGCAGTTCAGGGCTGGGCAGAGCAACACGCTGCTCTCTAAAGCAGAAACACTGCAGAGCACAGCAGGCTGCAGGGCACAAGCACCAAATGGGGTGTGAGGCAGCCTCTACAGAGTTTTTAATTATGTTTTAAAGGAACATGCTGCTTGCTCAAGTGCAGTGCCTGTGCCATCCTATAGTTCAGGCAAATATCTCAGGGTCTAGAGCAGATCTTCAAAGGAAAGGTTGGTTCTATGTGCTGTGTTCCCTTGCAGTAAGCTTTCTCTGAGAAATACTTGCAATAAGAGCAGCTATATTATATATTTATATTATATTATATTATAACACTAAGCTCAAGGCATATATAAAGCAGAACAGATTTTTACCAGAATTTCGGCTGTAAGTTCAAGGAGAATACAAATTGTTCAAGATGTGTATGAGAGTCAGCAAAACCACTGCAGAGATTTACAGCTCCCACAGACAGAGACAAGTGTGTCCTGCTGCCCTGAGAGAGCTTCTGATTTATGTATTAGCTAGGAAAAAACCCTGGTAACTGACTGATAAACCTGGCTCCCACTTAATTCTACCTGTTTTCAAGAAAACACCTATTTTCATCTGTCAACTCTTTCATCAACAATAGTGTAAAACTTAAATGGACCCCAACTCATCACCACATCAAGCCAAAAGAAGCTGCAATACCAACAGAAGTGGAGATTCAACCCAGGAAATAGGAAGGCTGGACACACAGATTGGTAAACCAGGAATACAGGGGCAAATCTGTATGTTAGAGAATGCTGGCAGAGGAAAATAAAATATTGTCATGAGAAACCCTTCCCAAGTCAAGGGATGCAGAAAAGAGTTACAGTGCCCTGTTGGTTGGTGCATGGGTAACAAGAACAAAAGATGAATTTCTCCAGGAAACATACAGTCTTCTGATAATTCTTTTCCAGCACTGGTCTCTTTCCTGCCATCCTGAACTCCTTCAGGCACTCAGAGCTTGAAGTGTTTCTGGCAAACACCATTCACCATCATGGAGTCCTTTGGCAGAACATCACCAAGTCCCAGAGGGAACAGCAAGAACTTCCAAAACTTGGAGTTTTACATCACCTGTATATGGCAGAGCCACTGAGGTTGCCCCATCCCTGGAGGTGTCCAAGGCCAGGCTGGGCAGGACTTGGAGCCACCTGGAACAGTGGAAGGTGTCCCTGTCCATGGCAGGGGGTGGAATGAGATGAGCTCCAACCCAAACCTTTCTGGCATTCCATGAACACCTGGCAACAAATCTGGAAGCTAAACATCCACCAAGTTCTACAGCTGCTCTTCTCTCAGACTGGATTCAAG